TGCAGTGGGAAGTGATGGGAAATACACATTCAACTTCATTACAATCTCAGGCTTTGTCCTATACCCAAGGAATGCCCAACCAAAACCTCGATGTCTAAGCAAAATCTTAACTTGTAAAAAGTTAAAGAAGTATTGTTCACATTTCTTCTAAGCCTACCCTACTCTCAGTGAAGAACAAAGCACAGTTCTTCAGCAAATTTTGTCATCTTGGACACGATAATCAATATCTACAACTCTTCCTGCTTTTACTGGCATGAAAGCATTCTGCCTATGAATACATTATCTATGTAAATGTAACGTTTTGAAAATGACCTCAGTGTTTTGAATTAACAGATTACCCCGTAGCCGTGTTTTTCAGTCGGTCCTCACTGACCCTCCATTCAAACATTTCCCAATTCACTAGTCTCTTATCAACACTTAACACAACTAGAATTCCAACTTCATTTGAATCCATTACTTCTATTATTGCAGCTCTTTTCAGAAGCACTTGATTTTGTTTGCAACCGAAAAGTCACTAATATTTCTGCTCTTCTTCAATTCGAAAAGACTGGGTCCAATATGAACTCAGATTAATGGCATTTTTTGGATGGGGTGTACCTCACTGATTTGGACTAGAAAATCCATTTTAAGGCTCCCCACAAAGTACCTTCATCTGTTTTTACACATCTACGTTTTCAATATTAAATAAACGATTTACCATTGCCTGAAATGTCCAACTAGTGTTATTCGTCCTGAGAGAAAACCAAAGACGTTATTTTTGAGAGAGTATTTGTACAACTGAACACCCTTTGCTCCCACTAAATAGGGGCTCTAGGCTACCTGCTTATCTCACCAACCCAGAAGAAATTCAATAATATTCAATATGCCCATATTCTAGTTAAGCCCCTTCTTCAGAGCATCATTTATTAGTTTCATCAACAGGCTGTAGCAAGACCCAAAATAAAACCATGTCATGTAAATCCACTGGTTTACTCTGACCCAGAGAATTCCTATCAGGATGCTCTTTATCAAACCTCTTTAGAGGACAAACCAAATTGCTGCACACTTTTCTGAAACAGTCTGTCTTTGCTGGGCATAACAACATCCTTACATCCTCTTCTTCATAAACAGCTTTCACTTAAAACTGAAGCTGACTGACCTTCTCTGACCTTTAAGGAGGCACCCCACAAAGTTACAGGGACAAAGACACCATCTACCTTTCCCATTGCAAATGTGATTTCATTAGAGGAGTTCTATACACATAAGAAAAAAAAAAATACTAATGGCTAATGTCAGTGTTGTGGCTTCTGAGCTTTTGCTGTCTCACCCAGCCTCCTCTGGCAGAGTTTCATTTTCTCAATAGAAACCATCCCATTTTCAAATGTGCAGGTGATTATGTCAGAAATACTACGACAATTAATCACACCAACATTAGTATTTTGGTGGAATTTCATATATTTGTCCATTTTTTAACAATTTAACTGTTTTCATAAAAAAATTAACTCATAAATCCATCCAATAAGTCTGTTCCAGAGGGGGTGGGGTGTCTAATGTAGCTGCCTTACCTTCCTCTTGCCAGTTTGAGTTTCTTTTACTAACAAAATTGAAACTCCTCTGAAAAGAGAACTGCCATGCAAACAGGCTGCACCAAATAGACTGGCAGGCCCTAACCCTCAGACAGATTTTTTTCACCCTATTTTAAAATGTTTTCTATCTTTTATTAATAATAAAATATTTTAAAATAAACGGTAGAGGGGATTAACTCAGCTTAATCACATTTCTCTTGTAATGAATATACAGAAAAACTGCCATAGGTTTTTTTTTTTGTTATTCCTCCAGAAGAAAGAGGGCAGTAAAAAGCAGAATTTCAGTCAATGAAAGGAACAACAAAAAAATATTTATGATAGATTAAATATACTTAGATAATTTAAAAACATTTTGAGGTACACAGTAAAATCTGCAAAGTTCTATGAAATACTGTGATCACTGAAGCTCTATTTCATGCTCTATTAACATTTTTTTTCATCTTCATCTCTTGAGTATATATGCACTAAGCCTAGGAAATAAATCAGTGCTCATGCACAGCAGCCCTCTGTGTAGCTGGAAGGATTCAAACAGATTTCATCTTTTTATCCTTGTCCCACCACTGAATGTATACTAGATAGCATGATGGCTGGCAAAGAACTTGTGCTTTTTCTTAAGAGATCTATTCTTTCCTTGTTTGCCCTTTGCTTTGAACTTCTCCTTTCAGGACATCAATACTGGGGGGGGGGGGGGGC